CCTGAGTAAGATCTTACAATACTAGTTCACTATTTTTCTATCAGCACCAGTTTAACTTCTCATCAGCAGTGTACTCAAATATTGTCAAATATAAAGGCGTTCTCTGGAAAATCATCGTTTTTTGAATCTCCACTTGTGTTATATTTCAGGCCTTTTTTTTTAATACATATTTAGTTCATATATCCACTTAAACTATGACATCTATAATATTTTTAAAGAAATATTAAATGAATGACAGTTCACAGTCATAAATATTGGCCATAAAGGAAGAGGGATAAATTTTCCAAATTCAGAGAAGTAGGAACAGATTTCTAAAGTCACTACTGATATTCTGCCTCTTGTTTACTAACTAGGTTGTCCTGCAAAACATTCTTACTGTTTGAACCTGATGACAATGACAGCAGCCTTTAGCAAAAATCTAGACAGTCTTGCAAAAAACAACTAAGTCATTCCTAGAAATAGAGAAAGGAGAAGGTGATGTAGCATTTATTTGATAAAAAAAAAAACATTAAATGAAGATGTTACAATCCAGTGATCCCCGATGGAGAAATATTTTGAGAATGGACTAATAATAATGTTCAATATGTAGTAGCAGATAAGTAAGTGTCAGCACATTAATATAGGAGCATCATTTGGAAAAAAAAAAAACAGTGGGAGTTAAGTGCTATACATAGCTTTGAAAATGTTGATATCAGACCAGTGTTTTCACTAATACAATGAGGCAGCCATAAAGCAGATATGGTGCTCTAAAGACCACTGACAGACCACAGCTTTTATTGCCTAGCACATAGAATGTTGGTGCAAAAAGAGAATGTTCAACCTTTTCTTCTCCTAAAGAGTCTCTAACTCCCTGCTACTATCAAATTTTCTGAGCTTTTGATTAATGAAAGGGGCATGACTAAACTGTCCTGCACTGTATTAAACATCTCAACTATCAGACCTTTTGCATTAAAGTTACAAGGAGGAAAACTGTATCTATCCTTGAGGAGAAGAGGCAAGAGAAGCTCCTTAGCCTTTTCTTATGAGGCTCTATACAGCTGGACTTGCTGTAAGACTGAAGGAAAGAGATAGAGTCCAAACAATGTGATGAAACTGCATTTGAAAACGGGAGGAAGAGAAAAGAAAAAGATGGAATAAACTTAAATTTATTTTCTCATATAGATTTTTCTTTGTCTCAAAAAGAAAGCAACCAAAAATCTATATAGTCGTTTATTAGAAGCTTTTTTTTTCACTTTTACACAGTAATACAAAAGCTTGGCTCTACTCCTTCAAGAACATAAGGCCCTTAAATTAGGATTAAAAAAAAAAAAGAAAAAGAAAAGTTATTGGAAGATGATGTCTCCAGAAACATTTTAAACTGATTATATAAACATCTGAAACTATTATCTTATTGTGAGAAGAAGAGGCTCATTGTGAGAACAAAAGAATAAAAATATTTTTATGAACGTAAGCATTTTGGATGTAAGCATTTATTAGTAATATATTAATTTTAAAACATTCAGAAGATACTGAAGTAAAACACAAAGCTATGTCTAAAGTTAATTCAAATGAAGTAGTGCTTTCCAATTGTCCAGCTGCATAAGTCTTAACTTCCTTCAAGCTGAAAACACTACTCTTCTGAGATACAAAGAAAAGTTCCCATTTAATCCTCACTTATAATAAAAGAGCAGTCATAATCTAAAAATTGGACCTTTTCTGTAATTATTTATGAATCATAATAGACCTGCAAGCCTTAAAGTCTATTTGTAATGCATAGGCTTTGTGCTGTAGAAGAATCCTTCAAAAAAAGAGCCAAGGAAAATAAAAAGGTTATTTTTAATGGTATATAATAATCACAAATTACTTCCCAGTGGATTTTTCACTTTCATTTATATCTCTGGGAAAGTATAAAACGGTAATTTTTGCCTGCTTTAGAACACAATGATAAGAATGTTTTGAAGTAATTTTGGAGCTGTAAAGTAGAGTATCTAGCAGAAAAAAAGCAAAATTATCTATTTTTATTCTATCAGTATCTGCTAGCTACAGGGGAACATAATTTACACACTCACGCTATATATCTCATATGATATAATACAATGCCGTAACAACTTCTAAAACCACAGAACCACCTGAAATCTCCAGAACTTATAATTCAGTTTAAAATCCATTTGATAAATCTATCCTTGAATAAAGTCCTTGAACCAAAGGCAGCAAGTCAGAATAAAGAATGCATCCACAAAGGATGGAGATACCTCGATTCTAGCTCTCCCTCTCTGAAACATCCTTGTCTTGAATTAACCAGAGAGGAAGGTAAAATATTGAAAGAAAAATTGTGGTGAAGAAACCAGACTGCTTAACTGGAGAATTTTTTTTTTTTTTTTCATAGGGAAATCTCATCTATATTTGCTGTCCCAGAGAATATTTCTCTTCCATCTGCAGCTATAGATTCCACTGTCTTTTCCAACAAGAATTCATTATCAATCAGTTGTCAAAGGGAAGGAATCACTAAACTAATCTTTCACTTTTTCAGTATTTACCATTTATTCAAAAGGAAACTAGTCATTGTTTGAAGATCAGTATCAGAATGATGGCATATGTGAACATTGAGTAAAACAGTTAAAGAAAGAAGGAATGCAAGTAAACTATGGGAAAGGTGATTGAAAACCCTTAAAAGCCTGATGTAAAGGCTTCAGTCTCTGTTCACACTATAGAATTTCAAGCCTGAGACCGAGATGATATGCTGAGCTCAGTTCAGATAACATCTTCATTTTACTTACATTTTTGAGCCCAAGAAATTATGTAAAGTGACTAAGCTCAGATTTAAACTGTTTATTTGAAAATTTAGATTCTATTTTAATACTTTTTATCTTTATGTAAACTGTGCACCTTCCTTTCTACACACATACTATACCAAAATTACGCATTTTATTTATTCTGGAATTACGAATGCTAGAAACTATCCTTGTAAAGATATATACTAGAGCATAGTATCCTTTCTTTCTGAATTTAAGTGACTGACATTTCAAACATAACAAGCAGACAAAAATAAAATAAATTCTAAAAATATTTTTCAAATAGATGCAAGTACTATGGCAACTTTCAGAACTCTGTCTTTATTTTGCAGTCTATTTATTTTAATTAGAAACTCAGGCTCAAAAATGCAAAGAGAATCATTTTACTTTTCCACAAGAAACAGTAATTGAGTTTATCAAATCACTTTATACAAAGCAAAACTGTTTTGATACTTTAAAAAATATTCTCTAAGGAAAAAGAAAGACTGAAATACTACGATAACGGGCCATGTGAAGTACTAAACATATGAAAACACCAAATGTGGTAACTGTCTATCTTGAATTCTTCTCTAAATTCTTGCGCATCAGTTCTGAGGTCTGAAGTGTTGTTTGTTACTAAAATGTACCAATAACATGCATGCAAATAAAGGGCAGAGATGCATAAATGAGTTGCATGTATTCAAAGAGTTTACAAAATAAAGCAGATAGATAGAATTTTAAAGGAAATTTTGACAATTGATAAATTGAGAGAGAGTAGTGCAGGTTAAGGTGTTCGACTATATTGTCAATGATACAGTAACACAGTATCTAAACCTTTTTGACTCCTAAGTAAATATAATTTCAAAAGGCAAAATGAATTTTAATCTAAGTTCAGTTATATGTTATCTATGGGAAAAATGAACACAAGTTCCATTTTGTGTTATCAAGAGGAAAGGGTTGGAAAAGCTCCTGTTCCACATACTTTACAGCTGCAACTTCTTCAAATGCATTTTATTTCAAGATTATCTTAGCGAAAAGCTTAGGGAGCCATGCTAGTGCTTGTTCAAGAAAGCTTTAGGGCTGAATAACAAAAGCATACCAAAATGTGATTTTCTTTGCTTCTGAAGAATTGTATAAGAAATACTTCCACAATATCCACCTCAATCGTGGAAAATTAGTTCCACATGATGATACTAACAACCATCAAACCTAATAGCTATGCATGCCTATGCATTTATACATGTGTGAAAATACACATGTATAGAGACAGACAGCCTAGCTAAATATCTCTTTGCTTTCTACGTATGTGTGTACTAGGTGTAATATATACACACATTTAAAGATAATATAAATATAATACTCCCACACATTCTTCTTAAAAGTGTGAAGCTAGGCATAATCAACACCTGTTGCAACAATACCAGATTATTTACTAGAAAAACACAAAGATAACAACCCTCCTAGTAAATACGAATATTTTGATTAACACATGTTCTGCCCATCTACTGCAATATTAAAGCAAATTGAAACAGAATTAGTGAATATTTTTCTTCAAGCTATTCATGCAGTTTCTGCCATCATTAGGAGGTTTCACTTGAACAAGCTATAAAATAGTCTCCCCTTCTTCCTATTTTAAATGACAGTAATGTGCAGAATATGGTTTATCTTGTTCTTTGATCTAATATCTTTATATGAAGAAATTTGCCCAAATAAATGCCAAAAGGGACAATGACATAATTTTCAAATTGACTAAAATGTTTCTAAGAGACCGAATTCAACATGGGAAAACATGCTTTGAAGGACACAAATACCTGTCTTAAAAGTAATTATAACAGTATCTGTTTTGACACATTACTTTGCTCCTTCAGTATATGTTGAGATTTTTCTCTTACTACTTGCACTTTATTGTTAATGTTTGAAGAAAGATGTTCCTCTTCTTTGTGTATATCAAATTAATTCTGAATACTACCTCTCCATATGTTGAATCTTAGGAGCATGCTATGAAGAACTAAACCAGTTTGGCAGAAACAAACACTGACTATAGGCAAAACAGAGATGCAGAATAGTCTTCGTTTAACAAACACATTCTTCACTAAAGACATCATTGATGTGATTCTGCTTCCATTACTTCTTTAAACATCTGCATTTTCCGAAACAGTACTATTGAAATGACATTATCATAAAAGCTTTACAATTTCGATAAGTAGAATTGAAATCTAAATGGATAGTAGAAAGCTTCAGTTAACTTACATGATCAATTAGTTCACGAACCATTCCATTCCACTGTCCGCTGGCATCTTCCTGGGCTCCATATTTTCCATCCTCCACCAGTCTAATCTCATAGGAAAATCCAAGGATAGTAGACAGCTCCCTGAGAAGGTCAATGCAATAACCTTCAAATCGATCATTTCCATACAAAGGTTTGTCAGACTTCTTGAACATAACATATGGCTCTTCCTGTAAAAATTAAAAAGACAGAATGGATAATGATTGCCCCCACACCTTTCTTTTCTCTTTAAACTAAAGTAGTACACGGTCACGATACCACTCCTGTACAGAGAACTAAAATGAAAAGTAGAATCATTTTAGCTTTTGGTAATGTCTGTCTAAAGTCTTTATTTATCTTCAAACTGAAGTTAGTCAGAAGACACTCTAATTTTTACTTGAAAAAAATTACACTCTAAACACCCTAGACATATCTTCAAGGAATTCACATAAACACTAAATTTACATGTGCTCCTTAACAAGTTACATTATACATTAATATCAAATACATTGTTTGGATGGACATTGTAAGCATCTTAAAATACAGAAGAAATGTGCTTTGGTGACTTAAAAAAGAGTTTAAAACTCAAACATCCATCAGATGCTTTAAGTATTAGGTTTTACACTTTTCTTTAGACAAATATTTTAACTGTTTTATCAATGCTTTCTTATAGAAAGTATAGAAAACCCACAGGGAAAGGAAAAAGTCAGGGAAAACACCTACTGTTCTGTTGCCTCAAGTTATAGGCTGCCATTGATGACTGCAGCAAAACCAGAAAAATTATCTCAAAAAGAAAATTCTGTGACATACATTCAATGGAAACTGTATTTATTTTCTCTAAACATTTATCTTCTTATACTTAATTTAATTGAAAATGTGACTTTTTTGCATAAAGGAGTGAGTAAACAGAACAAGTTAAAATGATTGGCAGAATACTCATCATTATGGTAAGAAACTTAACATTCAGCAAAATAAAGGATTTTTACATCTGTTTCTCAGTATAGGATAGCCTTCCTCAAATACAAAGCTGAAGGGAAAAAGACAAAAAAGAAATGGTACAGTTTTCCACTACAATATGGTACCGATATTCTAGCTGCATTTGAAACTCAAGTCTTTGCTCGGGTTTTCGCTGGGTTTTCATTTTTTACAATAATAAAACAATAAGCACCAAGTAAGTTAAGACAAATGGTAGTAGATGCAATTACTGCACCAAATACAAGTCTAAATGAATAATCAAATGAACTCTCCAGGGTAACTTAATTCATACAGCCCTAAATCTCCACATCAGCACTCAGCAGGGTTAAGGGCACTTCATTCTACAGGCATGGCAGCTTTGTCAAGGATTTGTCAACATTCCTGACATAAACATCTGTCTTGAGGTGTCCCGTGATTAAATCATTCTATCTCCACAAAACTGGAACTTCATCATAAAATATTTTACCCAAAATGCAAAGGAGAAACCTGGGAGATTTCTCGCTCTTAAAAGAAGTGTGTTCAGAATATATCTGTTCCCCAGTTGCCTCTTACACTTTTTTTTTAAATAAAACAAACTACTGAATAAAGACTCTGCTAAGATTCTACTTTTATATACTTTTATTGAAATAAATAAGGTTACAGCCATATTTTTTAAAAGTACAACACTGGTCTTCATACAATTAACAAGGAACGTAACATGAAATAAATTGTCCAGAGAAACTACTAGGATGTTTTGACAGAAACTTGTCAAAAAATAGACTCCAGGAGAGATTTTCTAGATGTAGTACTGACAAGAAAAAAGACCTGACTGAATACATGAAAGTAGAAAGAAGTTTAAATGACTAGGATCATTCAATAATTCTTGAGAAGCAGAGACAGTGACAGAACAAAAACTAGGTAACAAAACAGTTGCTAATAAACTCAAACAGGTATGAAATATCTCATAGAAAAAAACTGTAAGAAAAATAGTTTTTCAGGTGAAATAAGAACTCCTTAAAGAATGCTCAATACTGCCCAAGCAGAAGCTATGCTAAGACAAAAGACAGAAAGTATAGAAAAAGCAACTAGACTAAAACATAAACTCTTCAATGAATCGAATCTCAGAAAAGAAAGTATGGAGGAAGGGAAATGTAACTCAGAATGTGAAGGACAAACAGAAAAGCAAACGAAAATTAAACTTATGCAGGGACAAATGTATAAATGCCAAAACAAAAAATACACTGCAATTAGCTATTGACATTAAGGATAAAAAGTGATATTCCAGAAGCAAAGATAAAAGGAAATCCTAGGAACTAGTTCATCTGTTGCCCAACGGGAAAAGAAAACCATGAAATGGCATTACAATCAAACAGTTTGACGATTTCCTGTGCTTATCTTCTCTGAAAAGGCTAATGCTGATCAGCTAACATATAAAACTAACAGAAGACACATATGTAAAAGTGTTTAGACTAAAGTATGAAAATATAAGTCCAGTGAGTCTTTGAAATTTAAGTATTTTCAGAACATTTGGACACGAGAAATTCATAGAAGAACCAGTTTTAGCAATTTCAGATCTATTCGGAATTACCTTTAAGAATTCATGGAGGCTTCAAGGAGATTGTAAAAGGCTTATCTTTTAGCTTTTCCCAATCCAAAAAACTTCAGTAACTGGAGAAAAGAGGGCTATGAAATTGTAGACTAATTAAGGCAATTTTTAGAAAAACAGTATTTTTATCCTAAGCATATTATAAAACTATTTCATTTGTGGGAATCTAAAACTAAGAGAATATGGAGAGTGGAAGAATTTGAGGAAGGTCATCACATTATGTTATATGCAAAGTCATCCTGTTCTCCCTAAAAATACTAAGAAAATTTGACTGTCCAGAAAGCTGCACTTCACTGAAAGAGATTCAATCTGGAAAGTAGCAATAAGTGATATTATAAGACACTATTAATGTTTCAGTTGCTACATGCCATACAGTTTTGAACACTGCAGTTCAGGAGAAACATGAACCAAGGTCTACAAAATAGGATGAAGAAAGACTGAAAGAATAGAGGTTGCTTCACTTAAGGAAGGATAGACTGAAAGGAACGTGATAAAAGTCTTCAACACACACAAAGCAGCTGCAAAGAGGAACCAGAAAAGTTCTTTTCTGTAGAAGGGACAGGAATTAATAGCCTTAAACTCTGGCAAAAGAAATAAAGGTTAGAAATTAGGAGACATCTATAATGGTAACTTTATAATGGTAATTATACTTAAGTGCCTCAGTAGGTTATCTAGAATTTGGACTATTTTGCTGGAAGAAAAAGCTAAGCTCAATCACTTCTTGCTAAAAAAAATGGAAAAAAGGCCAAGAAAACACCTACCTGTGGCAACTGTTTCTGATATGAAAAGAATATTCACCATGCAGCAAGTGAAATCATGTTAATTGAAAAATTGTCCATTTCAGCTGTAACATTCTGTGGTTTTGGAATTTTCAAAAATGTCTGGAACTTCTTTATCAACAGTAGTTAATTCAAATACATTATCCCATACTAAATGGGGATTAAATATTCAATAAAATTGTTTAGCTACTCTTTTAATCCTAACATTTATTTCCGAAGGTGTGAAAAACCCTGGTTCAGACGTAAGAAGACTGAGACTTGTGCTTCACAAATATAATATTCTATGTATGCCTCTGTAGACATTCTGAAATTCCTATGTAGCTTGGAATGCTCATGTACATAGATCCTAGACATTTGCTTTCTGAATTGTTCAGATATTTACAGTTACACATCCCACAATCTATCTGGAATCTTGACAAGATTCTTGACAACAGTTTTGTTTCTATCTTCCATTCCAAGTAATCCTCAATTATATGGGGCAGAATTTAAATATGTGCGATATCAGGGAGGCAGTATAGTTGCCAGTTCATGCTTTTATGCTTCCTTTACTGAGTAAGGACAGCAGGATTTTCTTCACTGAGCTATCCAGCTCATCCATACATTCTTGTGTATTTTCCTGTAAGATCATTACAGTAATCCTCAATAATTTTATCTGTCCTGGTTTTTTACACTTTGTTAAAAAAAAAAAAAAAAATCTTCAACACTTCTGGAATTCATAGCTCCAACTCCATACTCTTTTATTATTCTTTACTCTGACCAGCTTGGATAAGGGCAGCAATAGTTTGTATGCTGTTACTTAATAATTATGATATTTTGTTATGGAAAAAAAGCTTTTCCTGAGAAGACTGATCAATGAGTTATTAACAGTCTCTTAATACTTTCACAATGTTTACATTAAGCCATTTCTTAATGGCTCTTGCTGCTTTCCTTATAGTCTTCCATTGTCCAAAGCATTTGCTTTTTCTCTTCAGACCTTTTATTTGCCATGTAAAGCATTTTCTTACTTAGCTTTGACAGGGTTCGTCTTTGATTTATCAGGAAGTGGGTTTTGGCAGCTTCATCTGTAATAGCTTTTATTAATCCAAAAGTTTTTTCTAGTTCTTCTCTTTTTTCTCTGGTAGTAGACAAGACACATTCTAAATACTGAACATGGCATTCATGTATTCTGTACAAGTCTATGCAAAGGATTTACTACATGCTTTATTTGTTCAAGTTTTAAATTTATATTACGGACTAATGTAAAACTGGTTGCCAAGCAAACTCTCAGGAAAGTATCTATGCATTAAACATATGATCACCGTTGCTTCCTGGTAGATTAGCACTTCCACCAAAATCTTTCACTAGGATTATTGATTAGATAGACAGAATATTTAAACTGAGTAATTCGTAGATTGGCAAGTGGTTTATACTTATTTCAATATTGTTCACAATTTAATTTTGTCCTTCAGCTCCTGAAAACATGACCCTTAAAAATTACTAGAGCTCATCACAAAACAAGTTGGTCAGAATTGTTTTCAGAATGTTTACCAAATATTCTTTAAAATCTTCTAAACAGATTCAGTTGGAATCAATAGTCTTTGAACTGAACACAACTCCTCAGAAAAAAACAATCAAACAAAAAAACCCAACAAAAAACAAACACACACACACATACACCCCCGCCTCCAAAACCCCCAAAATTAAAACCACCTTCCCCGTAGCACTTCTATTATTGCTTGGAATGACATAAGTATCTTGAATCAAAAGCCACTGAATAAGCGCTGTCTATACACAGCTGCGCCAAGAAGATTCCTGAATAAATACTCATGCAGACACAATTTTTCCAGAAAACATGCCTACTCTGAATTAACTT